CAAAAGGGACAAGGGGAGGAGAGACATTGAAGATGGGTAGGGGATGTGTGTGTATGGTGGGTGGGTGTGTATGGTGGGGGTACATGTGGGTGTGTGTGGTGGGGTGTGGGGGGGCAGTTTGCGAGGGGTGTGGCTGTGTGTGGGGGGACAGGGTATATTGTTGGGTTGTGTAGTGTTTGTGGCATGTGGGTGTGTGGCTCTGGAACACACTGTCCTCTCCTGCAAGCAACGCAGGCAACACTGGAGGGGTGGTTTGTGGGGTGTGCCCCCATGGTGCAGCACTGGGTGGGTGGGGGCACTGGTACCTGGCTCTGGCTAGCACTGCACGTTGCAGTGAGAAGCGCAGCCCACACTAGGCTGTTTGTTTCCCCAGGCACTTCCTGCACTTGTGGGGCACAGGAGGGAAGCCCCAGGCACTGGAGCCACTGCTTTCCCCACCCCACTCCAGTGTGTGGGGCTTCCCTCTTGTGCCCCATGAGTGCAGGGACCACATGGAGAAACAAACCACCTGGCGGGTGCTGTCTGCCTCACAGCGCTGGCCGGAGCCAGGCACCAGCGCCGAGCAGAGGGCTCCCTGCTCCCCCTGCTGCTGCTGCCACCCCCTGCTGCCTGTCACGGCTGTGTGCCAATGCAGGGGGGGGTTGTGGGAGGGGTCCCCAACCCTTCCTTCCTCACATCCACGCCCTGCCCACCTGAGCTCCACACTGCTGCCACCCCCCTGGGCAAGGACTCAGCACTGCAGCCAGCCCCACACTCTGCAGTCCCACCCAGCTGCAGCCCTGCCCCCTCCCACAACTTCCCTACCTGCTGCTCAGAGGGAGCATGATGCTGGGGAAGCCTGAAGCAGGAGCCCTCCCTTGTGCTAGCAGGGTCCACGCTTCTGTCCATGAGGGCAGGAACAAGGAATAATAGAATATGTTGGGGGCAGGTGTAGGCGCCTCGCTCCCACCCTTGTGGGTGGAAGAGTTGAGCAGGGCACAATTTGTTGGGGGTTGCCGAGGGACTGGATGAATGTGCCTGGTGGGCCGAATCTGGCCTGTGGGCTGTAATTTGCCCATCCCTGTTTTAAACTCACTTCTTCTGTACAGCATTCACCATGACCAACAATACCTGAGTCCATAACTTCTTATCCTATCTGCTGCAGGTTCCCAAGGTAGATTTATATAAGAGCGTTGTTTGGGGTGGAGTGTAGGGGGAGGGGGGTAGATGGAAGAAACCATCTCTCTACATATTTTGTACAGCTTGTGACAAAAGAAGAGAGTCTTGTAGCTAAAGCAGAGAGCTAGGAGTCAAGAGAAATGGGTGCTCCTCTCAACTTTGTTATAGACTTTGACTTGGGGCAGATGATGTAATTATTAATTCTAAAGAGGCTTATGGAAAGTGCTATCTAAGTGGACATGGCAATTTACAGCCAGATCTCAATAGCTGTAACTGGTAGGCAACACAAGGCTGCCTGACTGTTTCTGGTATACAGATCAATTCGTCAGTTCTTCAGCTTTTGTTGAATTTCCCTGCCTAAGTGGCCAGAAAGAGATTAAAGTTGTCAAAGGATAGGATTGATGGTATGGTGTTGTCTTCCAGCAGGTAAGCTGTTACCTCACAGACCTTGTGGAGTGTAAGCCTGGAGTCTGGGGGTCCCTTCATTCTTCTTTCAAAATATGCTAATGAAAATGGTAAACAAAACTGATCAGTAAGTATAGGCAGATTTCAGCATATTAGTAGAATACTACACAAGTTGGACTTAAGCACCCTATTTACTTAAACTGAGTTAATTGCTCCAATGACCTTTTTTCTCACTCTGTTTAGATGTGGGCATTACTGTATTTGCTCATATACGGGAGAATGTGACCACCACATAACAAAAATTTTGTCCAAACTCTTTTGATTGTCAAATAATTATATCAGAGATGAATTTAGTGTGTTACATTCAAGTTCCATGGTAACAAAATCACTTCCTGTCTCCTCTGACCATACTTATCTCTTTGCAATGATTTGTGACTGCATTTTCATTTACACAGACACCAGAATCTACTGTGCAGTATGGGGAACAGAACACATCCTGATAACCTTCTGCTCCAGAACCACTGACTTCTATCACTTGAGATGAATAAGAACTGTCAGCAGTTTCAGAGGTTATAGCTCCTTTTTAGGCCATCCCAACAGGGCAAGATAGTTACAGACTTTGGAGCAGGTCTGATTTTATAGAGCAGAAGAGTGCATTGTGCCTGCACATGAACAACTACTCCTCAGTAGCAGTCATAATACACAATCAATGGAAGACTAATTTGTTCTTGAGCAGGGGAAGTGGGTCACACATTAAATTCAATCAGGTGTTAATTTCCAATAAATCATTGGCTTCATACAAGCAGATACCCAAGTTCTAATAAAAACCAAACACGTGCATCAGGAGCAATAAAGCGAGTTACTTTTGGGTTCAAAACCAAGACTCTAACTCCAACCTTATTATCCAAACTAAAGGAGACTAGTAAATTCTCACGCTGGCAGTAACGCTTGTAGCCATTCTTAGCCCAACCACCAGTACATGTGCAAATGGTGAACTGATAACAGCTTGATCCTTTCTAGATTGGCCAAGGGCCTACTTATGTCTGTGCATTAGTTATACACCAAAATTGTATATAATCTAGTGGACAGAGCATTATGATCTAACCCAGCTCTCAGATTCTTGGAACCTGATCCAAAACTAGGGCTGTGCAAAACAGCACTGTTTTGTTTTGATGGGACAGTGTTTTGTTTCAAGTTTCATTTAGTTTCAAAGTTCTGTTCCGTTTCATTTCATCAAAACTGTTTCACTGTTTTGATGCTGTTTCGATGTTTTGCCCATGGGCTATAATGGGGAAGCATGAAACTTCCTATAACTTTGTCATTTCTTGGCAGATTTGGATGAAAACAGTGGGGATGGTAGCCCATTTTGAAGGCATGAAGCTTGCCAAATTTCAAGGAGATAGGTGCAGGGGTGTCTGGGAAATTGCACCTCAAAATCTTGGAAGCAAAACTTGTGTTACTTGTAAGTGTGAAGGCACAGGGGGGCAAAAACTACAGGGATGGCAGCCTCTGCTGAGGCCACAATGCCTGCCAGGCTTCAAGGAGGATAGGTGCAGGGGTTTCTGGGAAACTGCACCTCAAGCTGCTGACAAGCAGAATTCATAACATGTGACTGTGTGTGTGTGTTAAGAGGCAGCTGTTTTTCCATCCCTCCCCCAGAGCACTGGGATTGGAAGGGACCTCAGGGAAGGATCACAGTCACCGGCCAGCTGCAGATGTCAATATCAGAGCAGTCCTTCCGCCCTCCCTCTCCTTAGTTTCTGTTTCCCTGTAAGCAAGCCCAGCTTTGAAACTTGAAATGTTTTGAAACTTTTGAAATGTTTTGACTGCCCTCATTTTGTTTCAAGGCTGTTTTGAAGCCTTTTGTTTTGTTTCAAGTTCGCTGTTTCAAGCTCAAAACGAGTTGAAACAGCGTCAAAACAAAACACCTGGCGAAATTTTGTACAGCCTTATCCAAAACCCACTGAAGTCATTGAAACTTTCCCCATGAGCTTCAGATTCCTCTTTTCTTTTGCACTGTGGGTAATACATCTTTTAAAATCACCCTGCCGGTCCATGCAGCTGTTGAATTACATCAGCTTGTAAAGTCTTGATGCCACTTCAAAATGGGGTTCAGGGGAAGGGACACAGCTGATAAACTCTGTAATAGAAAGCAGATCTACATATCCATATCTCCTATCTTTCACTGAGAACATGGTGTTAGATATGTTGGTAGATTTGGGGGCCCAGAGGATCAGTTTTAACCTCAATAAACACCTGTTCCTCAATTGCATTTGCATTCACTTTCAGGCCAATTTACACTACCCAGAGCAATACAAAGAGGCCTTAGAATACATGTCCCCTCAGGATATAACCTCATTCTCTTACATAATTCATCTGTCTACAGATGGAAAGATAAACCTTTGTAACAGGATTTGACCACAACCATATTTCTAAATGTGATATTTTGTAGGGTAGTTAGGTTCACACAAATAAGCAGACCATAAAGGTGAGTGCCTATCTTGTTTAAAATGTAATTCCTTCTGATTCCACCCTAGCTAGTTTTTAGTGACTCCCAGGGATTTCAGTTCTACAGGAATGAGACACATTTACATCCAATGATGCAATTTGCAGATAACAGACCAGTATATTTATACCTGAATTCTCTAGTTTGCTAACTCCACGCTGTGCGACTGAGGCTGTGGTACAGAATGAGGCACAGCCCTCTGCAGCTGTACACTCCACTGTGTCTGAGCAGAGCTTGGGTGGGGTGAAGACTCCAGCTCAGAGCATTTATTTTATTAAACAATATGTTCTGGTGAATGAAATATGCATCCCTCACCCTCACCTCAGTGCAAAGGCCCTCTGAATCCTGTGAATGGCATGCAAAAAAGCAAACCCCTTCCTAACACTAAAGATGAGGAATGCAACATATCTGGTCTGTTGGGCTCAAAGGTGGGGTGGGGGGAGATGATTAATTATCAGTGAGGGAGGACGACTGAAGAGGGTAAGTCAGCATCTCTAGGTATTTTGTTTTTGTTCTCTCTCTCTGTGTTCTTTAAATGAATCTTTATTGGATGGGACTCTACTGTAAACAATTCCAAGAGCTTTGGAATCTTGTCTGAAGTCAGCAGCTCCCACCTTTTCTACCAGTGTTTGAAATCTACAGATGCCAGAGCCTTGCTTCATATTAGGCCAAAGATTGCTGCTTTTCAGGATCAGTACCACATTAACCTTAAAAGACTTGGAGGTTCAGAGAAGTGTTCCAAAATTCACTAGGGAGGGGAGGAATTCCTAGTGCCATTGCACTCAATGTGGCTTTGCCAGAGACCAGAATATCTGGATCTAAGTCCTGGCCTAACTGAAATCTTTGATAAAATTCTCACTGAATTCTGTAAGTGCTACAGTCTTACCCCCTATATTTATCTGCAACTTGGGGGTCTACAGTGTTGTAATGAAAGCATCTGCTGTGATCAAGTCAGGTTATACAAGCCAGGCGTGTGTGGGTGAGATAAGTTAGTACTTCGATGGGAGATTAACAAAGCTGATCACTCTAGGACAGGGGTGGGCAAAATACAGCCTGTGGGGCCCCTAAAAATTTAGAAAATTAATATTTATCTGCCCCTGGCTGCCTGTCAAATACAACAGGAGACAGCGGCAGTAGGACCCAGGGGGAGCCAGCAGCAGGACTAAGCAGCCGCAACAACAAGGCCAGCCTGGCCCTGTGTCCCGCCCCCCACCAGCTGGAAGCCTCTGCCTGTCCGGAGGGAAACTCAGATAAAAATAGGGGTGGGGGAGGGAGGCAGGGGAGGACCGTGGATGATCACCCTAGCCCTCAGGGCCAGGGTGGGTTGGCTCCTGTGGTCCTGGTGCTGTAGCCAGGAACCATGTGGCACTGGAGCAGTCAGCGGATAGGTGGGGGGAGGGGGAAGGGGCAGAGATACCCTTGCAGCCCTCGATGGCTTGCCAAAACTTGGTAAGTGGCCCTCCACCCAAAATAATTGCCTGCCCCTGCTCTAGGAATTGGTGTTGGTAGTAAACAGCCATCCTTCTGTGAGTCCAGACACACAGCACATTGGACACCTACGCAGATGCCCAACACCTGCTCTGATGCATGCTAATTAGCATGCATAGGAGAAGACTCTACTGAGTCTCTATTGAGTCTGCTGGAGTGTGCTAATTAGCATTCTCCAGCAGCCTCCATGTCTCATGTATTCAAAATTGCAGTGGCGGTACTTTAACTAAAGCTCATCAAAGCTCTAGTTAAAACTTTAGTGAGTTTTAGTTAAAATGCCCCTGCTACTATTTTGAATAATGTGGGTGCTTTAGTTAGAACAGCTCCCAAGAGCTCTTGGGAGCTGTTCTAATTAAAGCACCACCCCTACCCCCACACCCTGGAGCACATGTAAAGATACCCATTGACTTTAGAAGGAAAGTGGAGTAGACACAGGACACACAGCATTTACTCCAGAGAAAATGCTGTTTTCTGGTGTAAAATTACTTACACCAGAAAAGGTTTTTTTATGCAAACATACAGTTTGAATGCACTTGTAACCATAAAGGCCTGATGGCATTTATTGTAATAGCACAGATCTTTACTTTGGCATCTTGGACAAATTCCATCTCAGCCCATCTGAATGTGTTCTGGAGTTTCAAATGGATATTATGTTCTTTGCTTCCTGTCATAAACTATTGACTGGTATTGATATCTTGCTTAAAAACCTGCTGTCTTTGAACCAGGAGTTGTAAAGAGTTTTGGAATCACAAGGGATTAAACGTGCTATAGAACAGAGAGACTAAATCTCCTAAGACCTCAATACGTCCTCCTTCCCAGCAGGCCATGAGGAACTATTCCTCTCAGAATATTGGTGCTTTCGCTACTCTCCTGATCCCAAGGGCTAGGGACAGACATTCAAAAAGCCTGAGTCTGAATTGATTAAATCTTTGCAGGTTAGTTTAACTTGGCTAGGCTAAATCAGTTTTGTAATTGGACAGACATCCTAGAAATGCAGGCACATGTCTGCAGTGGCTCAGGCTAGAAGCCAGGGGGCGCTAGAGCAGCCCTCCCTTCCTTCCACAGCATGGATCTGGGGGGAATGTGGCTAGGTTCCCAGGACCTCTGATTAGCCCATCACCCAATTAAGAAAACAACAGAAGGACATCACCAGCTATTTGCTGATTCTGCCTGTTGATTCTACCTGTTGATTCAGTATGACCATAGCCAGCATGTGGTCAGCTAGCTAATACACAGACACCTCTCTGCAAGGTAGAGGGGTGGGGGAGATTCCTGCTTAACAAGGAGTGGTGAGCGGAATGGGGAAGCAGCCCACAGTCTCTGGAGCTCCAGCCAGGGAGCAGAGGGGAGGGGCCAACCCTGCTGTGGAGCAGAGAGCCTGCCCAGCCCAGAGAGCATGCCAGGATGCTGGGGGTGTCTGGTTTATCTTATACCAGCAAGGGGTCTGAGACAGACATTGCATAAACTGTTTTGAGCCAAATCAGTTAAGTCTGATACTAAATTCATCCAGGGTTAACTCAAACCAGTTTCTGCCATTCTCAAACTGGTTTATGTGCACTGAACATCTGTTCTGTTACACGGTTAAACCAGTTTCTGATCACTTAAACTGGTTTGTGTGTAATGTTTGTCCCTAACCCCCTAACTTTGTCATCCTGCTTTTAAAAAACAAGGCTTAATACCCATGGGGGAGGGAGGAGGGGATTTTCTGCTTGTTCTAATATTAGATAGAGACTGTCTATCATAGTGTCCAAAAGTGTTCCTTGAATAAAAGTTTGCCTTTAATCTCCGTATAAACAGATTTTGAAGTGGTATCCAGAGAAGCCCTTTGTCTGAACTGAGTGTAGAATTGCTGAAGATCATGTTCTGCCTGAGAGAAGGACTAGGGCAGACTGAAAGAAATCTCTTCCTAGCACCACAAGCTTATACATAATTTAAGATTTCATTGTTGCAACTTTGATGCATTTGAAGCAGTATGACCACAAGGCAAAATTTACATTCTCCTCCTCCTAAAGCACAAACCTGTATCCTGCCAGCTAAGAAAGCATCTTCATGACCTGCAAAAGGTATAGAGTCTATGGCACCTATTTGAGCAGCAAGACACACAGGTACACACAGGTATGCTTTTGTTTATTACAGTACTCAGCTCCTGTGGAAATATCAGGAGAATTGGATTTGGCTTAAAGCAAAACCCAAGGAAGCCTGAGCACGGTGGTCTAACATGTTTAGGAGCCAGTGGGGAAGGTGCAGAATGTAGCATATAGCATATTTGTAAAGGCCTGTTCTTGGAATTCTGAGCCCATAAATAACGTTTGTTATAAGTTATTAGGTACCTGCCCCAAGGGCTGCCAGAGAAAAGAAATAAGCAGACCAAAGGAGCTTAAGCACATTCCAGTCTGGGGAGGAGAAAGAGGCTGCAAAGACATCTCCAGCAGACTTATTGCAGTCCCTTTATGGGCCTTTCCTTTTTCTTACCTGGTAGGTAGAAGGGGAAGAAAATTATTTCTTTCTTTAACAGTGGTACAGACACAACTTTTCTGCTGTGACCACACCTGCCATGGTGCTTTAAGCTAGACTGACAATAGCCAGAGGGTGTTTTGGTGATTGCTCATATCACAGGGAAGTGACAGTTATACATCACAGCATGTCAAGCTTTAGAGAAAACTCACAGCAACGAAGTGGAAGTATTTAGATCTGTGCAGAGATATTAGGTTTAGCTTCACCTGTACAGTATTTGAGGTCCATTTGAGGTAAATTGTCATTTACTAAAGCTGAGAAACAGAAGACAAAGTGCTGCAAGTTGATGGATGTCTCCCCGAGAGGCCTCAAACCAGACACAGATAAAGAAAACCGATCATGATAAAAGATATGCCTACCTCTTGTTCACTTACCTCAGTAGCTCCAGAGAAAGCAAATAAACGTCCCCCTGCTTCTTCCTTGAAAGGAAAAGTTTAATCCAAAACATCAGGAAGCAGAATGCTCTTTCAATCCTGCATTCAGTGATCAACCTATAATTTCTGTGCATGTGAACAAGGAGGCAAATACCCTATGTCTTTGAGTTTAGGGCACTGTGCATATTCATTCTTGAATTGATGCACAATCAGTCTGGTAACAGACGTATAAGACCTGGGCTTCCACACAGATTATAATTTGGAATAAACTGCATTCTTAAAATGTCCCAGCTGTGTGAATTAGTGGCACTGTGGCATTCACATCATGTTAACAGTGACAGAATGCTCCTGTCCACTCTCAGGCTGCTATCAGACATTAATAGATTTGTGTTTCTGGAGAATGGGACATTAAATTCCTCAAACCCCAACTACACAGCTGCCAACTGCAAGGGGGCTAGGGGGAGAGGTCACCTACAGGTGGAGAGTGAGAAGCTGCCTGCTCTGTAGCTGGGAATGTAGAAAAGCAGTTAGGGCTCCCAGCTGCATGCTGGCTGCATACCAGCTTTTATATGACCCCAGGCATAGCGAGCCCAACAAAAAGGAAGCCTTCCCCTGATGTTGAGCTCACAGTGCCCCAGAACGTTAAAAGGTGGGCATGCAGCTGCTAACAGTGGGGAGAGGCTCCCTGATGCCAGACTCACAATGCCCCCATAGTCCAGCTGGGGACAGGGGAGCTTTCCCATCCCCTGCTGCTTGTGCAGGCACCTCTAAACTAGTACATGCAGCTGGGCATGGAAAAAGCTCCCGCAGCCCCAAATGCTTCTGCTGGGTACTGTTTTAAAGGGGCATGTGCAGCTGCCCCACCCCCAGCTGCACTTACTCTTTTAAATAACTGTCTGGTGCTAGCAACTGCAGATGAGGGAGATTTTCCATCCCTGCTGGTTGTGTGGGTGCCTCTTTAAGTCAGTGAGTGCAGCTGGGGATGGAAGAAACTCCTTCATCCCCCACTACATGCCCAGCATCCTCCAGGTATAAAGCAGGGAGCAGCTGAGTTCAGGACCTGAAGCTGTGCCTAGCCTAACCTGTCTCAATCCTCTCGCCTCACTCTCCCCAGGGCTGCCTTGTGCAAGATCCCGACACTCAGCTAAGTGTTGGGATTTGGCACCAAGTAGCGCCATCCCAATTTGGACCCAATCTGTCCTCTGTCTGATCCTAAGGATCGGGCAGGGGAGAGCTGTGTCCCACAATCTGAAATTTTCTTGAGGTGCACTGAAATGTGGCACTTTAAAGGGCCTTTTGGAGCCTGCAGGGCAAGGCTTTTTAAATTGCTGAGTTTTAGTGAGTCAGCCCAGGGCAGCCTCCAGTCAAGTTCTAGGCTCAGTGCTGCCCAGATCCTGCTGCTGATAGTCAGCTGATTGTCGGCACTGGGATGACAGCATACCACGTGTTCAGCTTATGGTGCCATACAAACCAGCCTCAAAAATGTCACACATTTTTCAAGTAATATCTCTATGCTTGGTTTGCAATTTTACAGCACCATAAATTCCATGAATGTGTGGCCAGTTGCTATTTCTGGAGTGATTAACACCTTGACTGCACAAGAAATATAATGTGTACCAGGGGCCTAAGTGAAGTCTGCAATCCTTTGGGAAAAAGGGTGCTTCTTATATTACCCCCCATAGAAGGTAGAAGATTGCAAATGATCAGCAATTTGCTGGAAAATAAATCCAGCAATGCATTTAATCAAAACAGTGGCTTGTTCCATTTATAATTATTTGCATTCAATGAACAAATATTTTAGTAATGAAAATGACAATTCCCCCACCATAGGCAAAGAAGGCTTCTCAGTTTTCTGCACATTGCCTTGGAGAAACTGTCCTGTTTTCAGTGCCATGTTGAAATATTACTGATTTGTATTTCAGCAGTGCCTTGAGGCCTCACTCAGGGATTAGAGTTCTGTTGTGTGAGGTACCGTTCCACTGTGCATGCACAACAGATCTCTAGAAGAAAAAAGGATTTTCTCTCGCTCCTGCCTCAGTGATAGAACACTATTCTAATCTGCAAAATGGGTAAGAATGCTACAGGCTTCTTTGTAAAGTGCTTGCAGTTCTACTGATGAAAAGTTCCAGCTAAGAGTGTGGACACATTGAACAATTGACGCGTTCCCAAATATCACTGGTTGGGAACTAGTTCACCATTGTCACAGGTCACAGGTATCCACAAGTCCATTGTGGGGGGAGGAGGGAAAGGGGAAATGCTTGCACCAATGCTTTGGAGATTCCATAGATTCATAGATTAGTAGGTGACCTGTGTTTGGGGGTTTTTAACTTTTTTCACTTTCCCTTCTCTACTAAACATTAGTGCAATGAAGTTCATTAGCCTTCACTTGATCAAACTCTGTGGTGTGCTTGCCTGACTTGGGGTGCCTGAGAGGGAGGGAGTGCTTTGACCCAATTTTTTGGGGTTTCCTGGGGTGAGGTGGAGACATGATGTGGGGCTTTGGTCAAGTAGAAGTGAAGACATAGCTGGTTTTTAGAAAGATAGATAGCTTTTATTGAACAAACAGTGCAAGGGAGTTCATTGATATAAAGTGCCATGTAAAAGAAAAAAAAAGGAAGCAGTAGGGTTCTGAC